AGTTCAAAAGTTGTAATGAAGCCGTGTTAGTCTAAACAATATACACAGATTATAAAAGGCAGCACTCTGAGACTAACTTTGATGTAATTTATTCAACACAAGCTTTCGCTGGCAGTCAATGCCAACTTCATCAGGTGTGTAAAGTAAAAACTTGAAAACAAAATAGAAAAGAGCTAATGCATACATAATTAGCAAAGGTCTCACAATTAACCAATTAGCAGTCGGATACAATGTAGTATATAATGATCAGAGATAACGAGTGTGATCAAGCTACTTACAATACAACTAATAAATAGAGCTCAGGGAGATAAACTATCTGTGTGGTCATGGTGCTAATATGAACATTGGAATCAGTAACAAACTAAATCTTATAGTGGCTGAGAAAGCCTAGTTTTTTTTTTTTTAATAGTTTTCTGCTGGTGTACAATGAAGATGTAAGTTTATTCAGACCCTTTTAGTTCCTATTCATATAATGCAATAGGAACTATTGTATTCACTTTTTTGCGTGCGTGTGTATGTATGTGTGTAGATATCTTCAGGAAAAGTTTTCCTGCATTTTGTTTTACTGACAGAGACATGCCTAATGGTACCCTTGGAATTACTAACTAGCCATCCATCACTTTATTTCCATTGCACTCAATCTTGCCTTCCTGGCCCACATTGTTGGAAAATATCAAGGTGTCAAACATACTAGTGTAAATAGTACTAACATAACAAAGTATTGTGTTTATTGATACTGCATTTAGTAAATAATAATTTTGAAATAAAACCAAATATTGTTATATTACTGTAATTTTATTTTTGCCTATATTTTTTTTTTACATAGACATTTGACCCAACCGTTTACTTCATAAGTTTAAGTTTTGTTGATCACTATTAAAGAGAGTCTGAGTGATTTATGGAAAGAATTTTTATTAAAACTGTGTATAAATGGGTGGGGGAGGGGAGGATGGAAGCAGCGCCTCCCTGAATACGTCCCTGCGAAAGCTGAAAACAATCCATAGTGATAAAAGTATCACAGTTGATGTATTAATTAGGCCTATAGGCCAACATTTTCGCTACCGCAGCATACCTGTAACACTACAAACGGCCTAAATATGTTTTCAAATTGAAATATTTTGTGTATTAAATTCAGTCATATAACTGTAACTTCACTAATATTCTGCATAGGAACGTTGACGCCTGCTAAGGTGGTTTAATATATTCTTGTCGAGTAGGCCATGCCAGCACCCCCACCCCCGATATCGTTTCAAGCTACTGTAAAATGAAATACTGTATACCTACATAGGCCTACAAAATAAATAAAAAAA